TTGCTCCACCAAAGACTATAGTATGGCTTCTGAGCAAAGGTGGACATAAGCATGTTCATGTTTCATCTGTCAAATACGAGCGCCTTAAATTTATTCAGAATCCTGGCTCCTTTTGTTTACCCTAAAAATGCTGCACTAATTCATCGGAGAATTTTTTTTTTTGACCTGCCCTCAGTCAGATCAAAGATGGATGATACAATGGTTACATACATGTATAATTATTACTCTGACTCTGATGTAATATCATGAACATAACGAGACTTGTACTTGATATGAAAATGTTATTCATAAGGAAAAAGGAAGTTGTACTTGCAGCATACTCAATAACTATTCGGTTAAATTGTTACTTTTACTTATACTTAATTACTATTTTACTTACTCGAGTAATTTAAAAAATGTTGTATGTAAACCAATCCTTACTGACTTTTCGAAATAAACACTACTCAAATTCTATCTTTTGACTGGTCAATACCCACCTGTTTAAGTTAAATTCCCAATTTGCTGAGGTTAACACAAGATCTCGTGAATACCTGCGACACCCTTCCACAGTTCGACTAAAAACAAACAAACTAACTAACTAACCAGATCCTGATCCGTAGGCTTCTAGATGCTTTATCTAGTTTCTATTGTCAACAAGTTTGTGTCAGCTCTTTTTTCCACGCAAGTGGAACGTATGCAACAGCAGTAATTTCTTGAACGCCCAATAAACTGTAGAAGGATATCACGCACAATCTGCGGCTCAAGTTTGAACTGGACACTTGCTTGACCGTGGCGCTGTCTTAACCAATAAATGGACAGCAGGTTGTAGTAGCCTTCACCGTCCTGTTTAGGCCAACGATAAAGTCGAATCGGGAAGGGTCAATCACTGGGGTGGGGGCGGGGGGGAGGGGAGAAACGCAGCTGAGATCAGCACGGTGCTCTTACATTCTTACCACAGATCACAAGCGAAATTGTTTTTATTGTGGATTATAATATTATTTTTACCCTTTTTTTTCAGTCCATGATAGATCTAGTTCCTCACTTTACCTTTATAGTGTGTGTGTGTGCGGGGGGGGGTTAGATCTATAGCTAATAATTTTTTAACCTGCTATTGTTATAATATTAGGACAATGTGTTTTCTTACTGGTAGGCCAATGTCATTTGTGCAATTGGACTTTTTAGGTGTAGCCTAAATTTGGACTTCCTTTGTGGAATTTGAACTTGTGATAATTTGATTTAGAAAAAAAAAACACTATAATATGAGAAAACAGCTGTCGCGGGATTGCTTGTATGTAGGTCTGTTCTACCTATTAGAGGCACTTGACGAGGGGCTAGCCACCCGAGCCTAGATTTGTTTTTTCGGAAACGCAAGCAAACACGTCCATTTTGTTTTCGCGGATGATTGTCGTAGGCAGAGGAGTCTGCACCAGAAGGATGGAAAGACGTGACGTATGCCTAAGGTCAAGAAGCTATTCCAAGAAGAAAAAAACTTGAAAGTCTTGTGCTTGTCGGTGGCTTATACTCTGATCCATGGTGAGAAAGGCAATGATTAAGTTAAGTGTTTTGTTGTTGGTTTTTAAAAATTTAGGTTTGAGTGTGTGTGTGGGGCGGGGGGGGGGGTCTTATGCTTTTTAGGGGGTGGGTGTAGTGGTGGGCCGTTTAGCAGTCATTGTAAGTCCGATCATCGATCTAATGTGTCGTTTTAGTTTGTCCGTTTTGAAGTGAAACATAAACAATAAACGCCGTAGCTCAGTTGACGATAAACAAAAAAATAAACAGCTGAATCGGGCCTCTCTCGGTCTAAATGTTACGATGTTCACCTCTCATTCAATAGGTCCCGGGCTCAAAGCCTGTCCGCGGCGGAATTTTTTTTTTTTCTAAAAGCGTTTCTCCCTTCACCTCCTTTCCTCAGCTCTGACCATGTATTGTCGTCTTGCCTCCTTCTCATAACCGCTGTCTTTCAGCCACACCCCGATCTTAGGGTAGGTAACACTTTGCCTTCTCTGGTAAGGGCGAATAATCTCGAAAGTCCCGTGTGGAAGTTACGCACGTCAAAGATTCCTTGGTGGGTGGTCCTAAAATCGATACGAGTAGGCTTCAGCCGCCACCTGGGCAAATTTAGCCAAGACTTAATTCCTAACAAACTAAAAATTGTTAATGCGTCTT